CTCCAGGCCCTCAGTTTCTCACAGACCAGGACTTAAGAGAAATTGATGGCTTTGAATTATGGTGTTGGCAAAGAATCTTGAATATCCCACGAACTGCCAGAAGAACTAGCAAAGTTGTTTAAAAGGACAGTCCGAATAATATGCCTTAAAAGCAAGATCAACCACGCTTGTTATCAGGAGAGACTAAGTCCCCAGTAAATGATATCAAACTTGGTAGAGTGTCATCGAAAAAAAAAGACCATCAAGAAGATAGTTTAACACAATGGCTGCAACAATGGGTTTAAACACAGGAAATACTGTGAGGATGGCAGGGGACCGGGAAATGTTTCTTCTATTGAAGGAGTCAGAACTGACTGATGACCACTATCACCACCAGCACCATGGGTCTACCATTATACTGCGACAAGACTGGTTTGATGCAGATCAAAGATTGCAGCCCTCACTATGGATTACAACTCAATGTCAAGAAGACAAAAATCCTCACATCTGAACCAACAGGTAACAAAATAATAAATGGAGAAAAGGTTGAAGTTGTCAAGCATGTTGTCTCATATGGATCCACAATCAATGCTCCTGGAAGCAGCAATTAAGAGATCAAAACACATTGCACTGGGTAAATCTGCTACATAAGACCTTGTCGGAGTATTGAACAGCAGAGATGTTACTTTGAAGACACTCCCCAAGCCACGGTATTTTCAATTGCCTCATATGCATGAGAAAGTTAGATATTGAATAAGGAAGACCAAAGAAGAATTGATGTATTTGAACGGTGGTGCTAGAGAGTAATTTTGAAAGGACCATGGACTGCTCAAAGGACAACCCAATCTGTCTTTGAAGAAGTATGGCCAGAGTGCTCCTTAGAGGCAAGGATGGGAAGACCTGGTCTTACACATTTTGGACACGTTGTAGCAGAGCCTAGTCTCTGAAGAAGGACAGCATTCTTGGTAAAGTAGAGGAGCAGTGTTCAAGAGGAAGACTCTCCATGGCATGCACTGATGCAGTGGCTGCCATAATGGGGTCAAGCACAGGCCTGGGGCGGGGCTTTGCTCTGTTGTGGATAGGGTTGCTATGGGTCCAATCTGACTCCGTGGCACCTAACAACAGCAACCAGGCAGATTTGATTACTGTAGCTATAACATAGGCTTTGGGGGGAAGCAGAAACTGATAGCAGTGATGGTAATAACCCCCCCTTGAGGGGGACGAATACCAGGATTATGGGTGAAGGAAGAGAAGGGGCGGTACAAGATATGTATAAATAACAATACATAATATATCAAGGGTTCACGAGGATGGTAGGGCAGGGGAGGGAGGGTAAAAAGAGGAACTGATATCAAGGGGCTCAAGAAAGATTATGTTTTGAAATTGTTGATGGCAATATTTGTACATATCTGCTTAATATAATGGGTGTATGGACTGTTACAATATATGTAAGAGGCCCCAATAAAATGATTTATTAATAAAAACATAATGTTTTTAGATCCAGAAGTGTGGGTCCTCCTCCTTTGTTATTCCCTTCAACATTGTTTTAGTTATTGGAAGTTACTTGTCATTCCATATACACTTCAGGATTGGGTTTTCCATATCTGTAAAGGAGGCTCTTAGAATCTTGATCAGAAATTTGTTCAATCTATATATGGATCAATAGATTGATTGAATCTATAGATGGAGCAATGTGGGGAAAGCCAGCCCCTCACACTATCACGGGTTCAGTAAATGCAATTGTACAGTTAAGCTATATAATGATTAGCTCTCTCATCCAGCCAGCCAAGATGCCGAAAGGGAAGAAGGCCAAGGGCAAGCAGGTAGCCCCGGCACCGGCTGTTGTGAAGAAGCAGGAGGCCAGGAAGGTGGTGAACCCCCTGTTCACGAAGTGGCCCAAGAACTTCGTCATCAGCTAATGTAGTAGCTCTAGGAAAAGCTTAAACAGCCTTGGCAAGAGTGAAGCCATTTTGAGCTGACAGAAGCCATTAGGAACCATCAATGAACTAGCTATGAACCATAAATGAACTAGCTGATATGAGGGAGGCAGGCTGTGCTGACAAGTGCAACGGACTGTACCGAAGGGAATGTATGTT